AGATAATTAGCATGACATGTGGTAGTAGAAAAAGAGAAAAGAGTTAGGAGCTCTCTCTTCTTAAGTTTGAGGTTTCTATAAAATTTAATAAAATTACATAGAGATATAATTAATTTGACAAGTAGAAGAAGAATTACCTTGACTTGAGAAAACTAGTTAATTAATGGTTAAACCCTTATTTTGGTCCTCCACTATTGTACGAACTCTTGATTTAGTCCCTCAACCCAAAAAATTTCTAATTTGGTTCCTAGTGCTTATCATTTTTACCCTAATTTGGTCCTTCCAATAAAAATCTTGTGACATGGCCTATTAATTCATGGCTATATGATGATATGTCAAATATTAATACACGTGGAAAACAATATGACAGAAAAAATGATGATATGGAAAAAAATATTAATATAAAAAAAATTAATATGAAAACTAAAACTTAAAAAAATATTTTTTTTCTTTTTCCTTCTCTTTCCCCTTGGAACCCAGTATGCTTGGATTCCATCAAACCTAGGAGCTAGGTTCCTTGGGACCCAGGTCTTGGGTCCTTGGGGCAAAAAATTAAATTTTTTTTATGGGTTTTGTTGTTTGATGATGATGAAAAATTAATTGATGAAGATGAAGAAAGTAAGGCAAGGAAGAGGAAGGAGAAAGAAAGGGTGTGTGCTAGGTTCCTTTGAACCCAGCAAGCCTGGGTTCGAAAGAATCTAGAGGCAAAAAAGTTAAAAAAATGTTTTTGTTTTTTTGTGGGTTTTATTGTTTGATGATGATGAAGAACCCAACAAGGGTAGAAATTGGTTGAGATAAATAGATTGGTTGAGATGTTAGGGTTTGTAGAAGTTGAAGAAAGGGAAGATGAAAGAGAAAGGGAAAGATGAAAGAGAGGAGCGGAAAAAAAAAGCTAAAAAAAATGGATTTTTTTTTTTGGTGGAATGAGTTGGAATGGCCATGTTATTTATTTTTGCCAATTTGTCAAATTTTGTATGACATATAATGCTTCTTCTGTTTTCTTCTGTCAATTAATGTGAAAAAATTAATGAAAGGACCAAAACGGGGTAAAAATGGTAAATAGTAGGAATCAAATCATGGATTTTTTGAGTTGAGGGACTAAATTGAAGGTTTGTACAATAGTTGAGGGACTAAAATTGGGGTTTAACCTTAATTAATTTAGGAGAATTTGCCATCATATACAATAACACCCATTAAATTAATTTTGGAAGTATATTAATGCAGAATTTATATTGATTGATTATGGTGAAATTGATGCTTTAGTACCTCATATTTTGATTAGTTTTATTTTAATTGTTATTTTCTTTTTATTTTTAATTAAAGTTTATTCTTTTTTCAATTATTCAAATAAATTTAGATTAATTATTTCTAGTATTTAGTTAATCAGAATCCTCATGAGTTTGACACTCTACTTATCATTATATTACTTGGAGTGACCAGTACACTTACTATAGTGATTTTAGCACATCATTTATGCTATTGTGTGCTAATATGTAGATATTAGCAAAGTTAACAATTTTCCAGGCGTTGTTTCAATGGCGGTTGGTGAAGAAGGATAGTCGGTGGTATTATATCTTAGGCTAAGATAAAATGATTGTTTTTCACAATATAAAGAATGAAGTGGCACGTTGGAAGAGGCAATTCATTTTTGTGCGAGACACAAGAATAGAAAAAATAAGCAATGAGTTGACTGCATGCATCTCAAAGTGGCACTCTCTCAGCCTGTACATGAATTACCCCACACAAGGAAATGTGGATGTGGAGTTAAAAAAATAGGATTTTACGCCACCTTGAGGAAAGGGGCGCCATGGACTTGAACACCCTGGTTACCTCAGTGCAATTAGAGGCATTTGGATTTGTGGATGTCACAAACCTCTACATCTTAAGTATATCTTCTTTCATATTTTAAAATTTCTAACCAAGTTGAGTCTTATTGCTTTTGTTTGTGTTGGAAAGATGGTTGGGGGACTAGAGAAACAACATAAATGGGCTCAGAGGGAACAAACCCAACATGGTAGTTTGAGCTCGCAGAGGCAATCTCGCTTTGACAAGCCGCCTACAGGACACTCTTTTCACTACTTGTCCCAACGCGAGTGAGGTGGTAGCTTTGTTGTTCCAGAAAGGCGAGTGAAACATAGCCTAATGAATCTTGTAGGCAGGCATGGGAGAACGGAGAGTTTACATGTGAGCCTACTTCTAACTGACAACAGATAGACACAACTGCTATGCCAGCTACCCTAATTGTTACTTTTACTAGTGATAGTCAAGTGGGCCCTTTTTAGGTGCAATGGGTTGCTTCCACAATTACATACCAAGAGGGTTTCGCTCCACTAACAAAGACTATCACATAGCAATGGTGTAGGGGATGCATAATTTTGTCCCCCCTATAGACCGTTAAAGGGGAAAGTAGTTTTCCCATCAGCACATCAATGGTGCTATGACAATAAAGTTGATGGACGTAAGTAGAAATTTTTGTTTATCTTTCTTACCTTTGTTGTTTTTATAGTGTGAACTGATACAATGGATTGTATGATAGGTGTTTAATTATGTAGGAGCTTTGTTTGAGCGCAAACAAGCAATTCAAGCCTAGGCTCGCATGGTGACAGACAAGGCAAAAGAGGTTGTCATCAAGAAGCAAAGGTTGCAGTGAGAGGTGAGCCAGCTGTAGAGCTCAAAGATGGCAAACCAAGCTATGGCTGTAGAAAGCAAAGTAGATGAGTTGACCACTCAGATTCTTAGGTTGAAAGAGGAGCTAGAAAAAGCCCTGTTCAAAAGGAGAACAGCATTGTAGCAGCTTCAAAAGATGCTGAGCTCCAGGCCAATGCTATTGTGGAGGAAGTTGCTAAGGCAAGGAAGGAGAGGGACTAAGCCCGTCAAGAGTTGGACAACTTGAAAGTAAAATCGGCTGAAGCTAACTACATGATGGTGCACGTCAAGGGTCTACTAGACAATATGACTAAGTTGTTTCGCCAAGCCATTAACATTGCTTGAGCTCAAAGGGTTGAATAGTTCCTCGGATTAGACAATTTTTGGGATGCTGTTACCATTACCATAATGAACACCATCATTGAGATTTATAACAAGGTTCATGCCAAAGTGTTGTAGTACTAATCAGCTTTCCTAATCGGCAAGCTCACATTCATTGATAGTGAAGAAATTGATGAGCAAGGAAAGAGTCTTGCCCCACTATTCGAGACTATTGTCAACATACGATGGACATTGGATGACAAGAAGGCCCATTATATATTCCCAACGTCCCCAAAAAAGGCAAGGCGTACGATACTTCCCAATATTTTACCGATTGGGTTGTTGGGATACCTCACCTAGAAGCTGGAACCTTTTCTTCTCCTCGATTGCCTCTTCCCCTAACACTAACAATGCTCCCATTGTACCTATGCCTCAAGTCAATCTTGCAAACGAGCAAGATAAATAGAACATGTGGTTTTCTTTTTGGTTTTGTTTTTGGATTTTACATTGTTAAAACTCTATTTTTATTCATGATTCCGTTTATGAGTTAATGAACAAAATTGTAAAATTGAAA